TGGCTAGGGACCCTCCTCAGAACACCGATCAGAGGTGAACCTGCCGTGGTTCTCCAGATGTGCCACTCTGCCATGGGGCCACACGGCAGCCTCCCCATTGCATCTCTCAGGCCCTCTGCTCAAGGCCCTGCCAAGCAGAATGGCTACAACAGTTCCCTTCTCCCACACAGCCTGAGGGACAGAGCTGCGTGTTCTCACCTCCCCACCAGTCCCTCACGTGAGGAGCCAGGGCTCAGGGAGGGTCGTGGGCAGAGTGGTCGGCAGCGGGGTAATCTGGGTTCAATCCTACTCTGAGGCTTCCTACTATGTAACACTGGGCAAGTTCATTGCTTATCCTCCAGGCCTTGGGGCCCTCATCTGTCAAATGGCGATACTCCAACGCCACGGGTGCCAACCTTCCTGTGGGCTTTCCGGGGGCCCCCTCAGGCAGCTGTCCTGGCTCCCGAGTGATGCTCCTCCTGAAGAGCAGTAAGCAGAAGTTCCTTCTGGTTTCTTACCGCGAGTACAACTCCACACATTTCTTTCTTTTCTTTTCTCATCAGCCTAGAGTCCATTTAGTTGTGATTAGTAAAAGTTGAAAGGGTCTTAAAAGATCACCAAAATCTGAGGATCCTAAGTGCCAGTTAGTGCGGCCCGAGACCTCTGCTTCCAGGTTTGACTGAGAGCCCGGCTGCCTCACAGCAAGGTCAATTTCTTGACACGTACGAGGAGTGTGGGTCTTGGCAGGCGGGACAGGCCCATGGGGAGGACGAGGTCCTTGCTGTGGCCGCCAGTGGCTGTGGTTCTCAGTAACACCAGTTCTGGCCTTTCCAAGGTGCGTGTCTGCTCGGAGCTCTGTGACATGGTCAGTTTCACTTGGGAGTCGTGTGGTCACCTGACTCGAGGTGGTGATGCATGTCAACCAGTGATACTTGGGGCCTAGGGTTTTCCAGTGACCAGGCCGTCAGCTGCATGCACACTGCAGGCCATCCCCACCTGTTCTACTAGCACAGACTACGTACAATCCTCCCCCAACTGGCAGGTCCAGGAGCACAATGTGGGAGACGGGCCACTCAAAGAGCTTGCCACGTCCTACCAAGGTACACATATCAACCTACTGGGTAACTTTAGGTTTCTTTTTTTTTTTTAAAGATTTTATTTATTCATTTGAGACACAGAGACACAGAGAGAGAAACCATGAGCAGGGAGAGAGGCAGAGGGAGAAGCAGGCCCCTCGCTGAGCCAGGAGCCCGATGTGGGGCTCGATCCCATGACCCTGGGATCATGACCTGAGCCGAAGGCAGACGCCCAACCATCTGAGCCACCCAGGCGCCCCTAACTTTAGGTTTCTGAGGCATTGTTTTGGAAGACAAAATGCATGCATATGCTCACCTTCTCCCCTAGAGTCAGTAAGAGGTGGCTCGCAGCTGTCAGGAGGGACAAGTGTCTTCCTCCCCTTGACTCTTCTCTGGCAGGAAGTCATTAAGGAGCTCATTTCCCTTGCAGAGTGGGGTGTGTGGGGCTGGTGGCAGCTGGTGCTGGGATGCTGGTGTGGAGTGGAGGGCGGCACGGGAAGAGCAGGACAGCACTCGCCAGGGTGAGCAGTGGCAGCCCAGGCCAGGCCACCCCGCACAGGGGGGTCTCCACCCACACGTGGACCCCAAGAGCCCGGCTCCCCAAAGCCCTGACCCCTCTCTTAGGGCTGGCAGGGCAGGCAGGGACAGGCTGGCCACCCAGACAGACCATGAGTCAGGCGCTCAGCCCCGCTGCTCCCTAGGCCCACCTGGAGATGAAGGCCACTGGACCTGGCTCCACAATGTAGCGCCCAGCACCTGGGAAGCAGAGACACTATGCCATGGGCAGGATCCTCAGGAGGAGCCTCAACTCTGCCTGCGAAGTCTTCTACCTACTCCTTCTCTGTAGCAGTGCAACCCAGTGGGTTCCTAGCTCATCTTGCAGGGCCTCCCAGCCTCCCAGGACTTACAAACAGAGGCCACTTTCTTGAAGGGAGTAGCTATGTAAATGTGGGGCTTCCCAATCTTGAGGCCCCCCAAGACTTTCTGGGTCAGCTCCTTGGGTGTCAGGTGGGGCTATCCCTCTAGCCCCTCTCATTTCGGAGACTATCTTCTAGGGGAAGCCATGGGCTTAGTGTCAGGACTCCTGTCTCAGAGGTCAGGAACTACGGCTCCATAAAACACTGTTTCCATTTTACGGTTCACCTTTGACTCATGAACCTGAGGAGTAAGTGTTGGTCCTGAAATTCAAGTAGGAGTTACAAGTCACCATGGGCCAAACCCAGCCCAAAGGTATGTTTTGTTTAGTTTGGACAGTTTTTATTTTTAATCAGGAAGTTTTACATAAAAATGAAATCAGATAAAATTAGATTCCTTGGCCTACAGCAAGAGACCTGAGTAGCAGGCCACCATGGTCCCCACCACTCCCTATTGCCTGCCACCTGGTCTCTTCAACACCTGCTAGGCCCTGTTGGCATCTGGCCTTGTCACTGGAAGTGAGAGGCCCCAGGGAGCACCCAGGCTGGGAGTCAGAGGCAGATGGGAGGACATCTAGATGATCTTTAGTCTGCCTTGCCCACTGTGTTGCCCTGCAGAGCTAGCACCAAGGCCCATAGGCCACATTTGACCCCAGCTCCACCCACAATCTGGGGGCTTGGACAGCTCCCCTGAACTGCTCCTGCTCTGGGAGCCTTAGATAGGACCAAAGCCCTGGGCCTCCGCACCCCAGCACTTCCAGCTTGCAGCCAGCAACGCTCCTCCTCCTCCACCTGGCACTGGGTGTCTCAGGTTCACTGAAGATTCTTTCACAATTAATGCACTTCAAAAAGGTTAAAAGTAATTCTTTATGGGAGGAATCGGCAGGAAAAGACAAGCAGGAGGGGGGTGAGGAGTGGGGTGGGTGGGATGAAGGAATCTGACCAGTTATATTTAATAAAAAGCTTAAAAGCCACAAACAGGAAGCAGACCTATTAAAAAGGCAACACTGACCTAACAAAGGAATGTGAACTTGAGTTGACTGAAGCAGCGGCACTGTGTCTCCCTTCCTGTACTCCCACCCCAGCACCCAGGGCCCCCAAACAAGCCTCCTCTTGTACTCCGGCCTGTTCTGGGAACACCCCAACTCTGCGCTTGCCTCAGGCTAAAGGAAGAGGAGCTGAGGGGAATGTCAGCATGACTCTACACACCCCCCAAAAAGGAAACAGACGGTGCTGTCCTTCCCTTGTCTGAACCAGTAGGCCCCCACAGCTGGGGGAGGATGAGTGTTCCAAGGTGCAGCCCCCCAACTCCAGGCAGCTCCCCTCCTGCCCTCCCAGTGCCCTGTACCCTTCCTTCCAGTAAGCCCCCACAGGTACAGGCCCAGGGCCCTGGGAACAGAGGTCTGGACCTTGGCCTGCCTGGCTCATGCCTTGTGTGTGCTCCTTGGAACCCAGAGCAGGGCACTGTGGACCCCGGTTTGGCTGAGGTAATGACCAGAGCAGTGGAGAGGACAGGACAGGAACCTGAAGCCTGGTATCATGGCTAAAGGCTCCTATCAGTGGGCCACTTTGCCTGCCCCAAGGGAGTATCTCCAACTGCGACAGAGCTGAACTCCACCCTGACAGAGACCTCGGGGTACAAACAGTGCTTCTGAGAGCCACAGGGAAGCAGGCCTCTGATGCCTGCTGCCCTTCCTCACGAGATGGCAAATGCCACACATGACGTTCTGGGCTTGTGGAAGGACTCGGGAGGCAAGGCCCTCAGCCAGGCTCTCAGGAGAGCAGAGGGTACTGACTTTACTCGGTGAGCTGCCAGGGAGCTGGCATTCCTGTTTCCTTGCTTGGCCAGGGCACTACCCTACCTGGAGATTTCACTCAAGAAGCTACACACCAATAGCACGTTGCTGACCGGATCTGAACCTCCCCATGGCTTTCCAACTCTCACAGAATAAAACCCAGAGTCCTGCAGATAGGCAAAGTATAGCCACAGGGCTGATGTGAAGTCAGGCTTTCTCTGTAACATCCTTCAACTCTGCTGCATGTTTGGGAACTGGCCTAACACAATGCTGGAGAAGAAAAGTGGCATCCCACATGCCTCCCAGTTCGTGCCAAACAATCACTCCTCAAATGCACACCAAAACTCACCGTTACCCCAGGGCCTTTGCACTTGTCCCCTCTCTCCACGGAGTGTTCCTTCCCTTGGTGTCAGTGGGGCTCCCTCCTTCCCTTTTGGTCAGGGCCCTACTCAACTGTTACCTCCTCAGAGAGGTCTTCCTTGATTGCCCCTGTCCAGAGGTACACACACAGTGCTTCTCACCCTCTCCCTGCTTTATTTTTCTGTGACATACAGTAGATACTCACCGAATGTGTTCCCACCTGTCCCCTCCCACGACCACGGCAGCCTGCCTGGTGTGTGGCAGGACCTCCAGAAGATGGGTGTGGGGTAAGTGCAGGAGTGCTGGAAGGCAGGACCAAACTAAAGAGATCCAAGGGCTCTATTCCCAAGAGCAAAGGCACACCTTTGACCCCACCATGGATAAGTCCCAACTCAGATCCCTCAGAGGCTCAGCACCTATTGTTCTCCACCGGGCAAAAAAGTACGTGGCAACTCATATTCTGGGAAACCGTACTGGCTACTGGGGCAGTATGCCAGGCCCCTAGCAGTCTCTCTCACCGACTCTTCCTCCAAAGCACCTCCCAGATCAGGATTGGTATCGCACTTCACAGACAAGCCAGGTAATTCACCCAAGGTTACCCCTGTATGGTTTACTGTGGAGCAGGAGCTCAGACTCACACCTTGACCCTGGCTCAGACCAGAGGCTGACTGTACACCAGCACCCCCAGGACCCACCCTGGCTCTCCAGCCACAAGCCCATGGGACAGGAGACCATGATGTTGAGAGGGCTGGGCCCTGTGCATCAGCTCAGGCAGGGTGAGCATCCTGAGCCAAGGGGCACTGTCCATGCACTGTCTCCACCATCTCTCCATGCCTGCACAGTGCCTGCCAGTGGGAGGAAGTGACTGCACTCACCAGGGATGTGGATCTTGAACTTGCCACTCTGGCCGAAGGCGCTGTCGATGACCCCCAGCTCCCCAGTGGATAGGTACACCTTGAGGCCCACAAAGAGCTGGATGTTGGTCTCCTTTTTGAACAGGGAGCGGCCGATCACGCTGTGGTCATCCATCACCTGTCCCCACACACCCAGCCCCAGAGAGAGCATCAGTGTGTGCTAGAGGAGGCCAGGCCTGCTGCCGCTACCCCTCCGCCCCTGCCCCCACCTGGTGATCTGCCCATCTCACTGACAATGGAATGCACTGGGGCCATGTGGTGACCAGCCCTCATCACCATCACCATTGACCTCTAGTGAGCCCTGGCTACTGCCAGGCCGCCTGTGAGAACTTTATGGGGGTCACACTTAGCACCACAGCAGCAATGGGAGGGAGGCACTCTTTCCTCACTTTACAGACGCAAACTAGCGGCACAGTAGAGTTAGGCTATCCATCCAAGGTCAGAGCTCCCAGGGCAGAGGGAGCTCAGAAGCCACAACTGCCCTGCCTGCACCTGCCTTTGCGTGGCCACTGCACCCTGCCTGTCCTCGAGCACTTGTCTAATGATGGCTAGCAGCACTCTCCTCAGGTAAGCTTGCATGGACACCCCAGGTCGAGAGGATGACATCCACTCCCGATCGTGCAGCAAGGCTTTCTAGAACCTGCCTCGCCCTCCCTCTGGTTTTCCCACCCACAAGGAGTGTCTGAGAATGCAGTCTCTGCTGCTCTAGCCCACCCCACATGTATGTATTTCAGCCAAGGCTTTCCTCACTCTGTCAGAGAGCCTTCCTAGCCTGGCCCACATCTATTCCACAGCCCCGCTTCCCCTCTGCAGGATGCCCTCCTGCCCCCATCCCAGCAGAAGCCTCAGCTCCCCTGGCTCCCTGCTGGCCATGGCCGGGCCCTCTACTGCTGAACCTGTGCCCCTCACCTCTTTGTGGAGGCTCAGGTTGACAGAAGGGGCATGCGTGTGTGTGAAAAAGCCAACCTGGTACAGCCCTGATTTCAGTACGAGCTATGTTCACCTTGAACGTCTCCCCAGGGACCGAGCATGGCAAAGGCTGAAGAGCCACTCTCCCCTCGCAGAAGGTGGCATGGCCTGAAGCTCCCCAACCCCCCAGGTGGCCTCCCCTGCTCTGCCCGGCTCTTTTTGAGGGTCCGTGCCAGGAAGGGGCCAGGTGTCTATGTAAAAGAGAGAGAGGGTGTGTGTGTGCATGTGTGCACGCGCGTGTGCATGCGCTCACATATGAAAGACTAGACCCTCTCCCAGATGACCTCAGAAAGGCTAACACAGAGCTTCAGCCTGAGAGTTGCTGCTACTGTGGAGTAGGACCCATGCTCCACCTGGCATCTGGCATGCCGGGTCCCACACGGCTGCCACAGCGGAACGGGGGAGGCTCCTCCTGCTCTCCAGGCCCTGTGCACTGGATGCTTTTGGGGACCAGGGTTGAGTCTGAGCAGGCGCTAGCCCGGGCAGCAGCATGGGGGCCGGAAGTGCTGCCAGCGGTGGCACCTGCGGCCTCCATGTGCTCTCCTCCTGACGCTGAGACTCATGGGGGAATCCCGTGGGCTGGGCTGTCCTCAACCTCAGAAACATCTCACTTCTGCCCAAGACGCCAAGATTGGGCCAAGGGCCCCAGATGGATTGTTTTGAAAGGTAGAAACTGTCCCATTTACCCTAAAACCCCTTTAGAAAAACATATCCTATTCTATTTGATTCATAGTGCCAGATAAAAGGTACTCACATTCCTCCTCTCCCCGGTGATGGATGAATTGGATACAAATAATGATAAGAATAATCATTTCCACTTGCACAGCCCTTTATAATTCACAAATCTCATTCCCACACATGAACTCCTCCTCGTCCTTCAGGACTTGGCTCCAGCAGAGCTCCCCTGTGGGCTGGCTTGCCATGGGCTCTGCCTCATCTGTGGGTGCTGCTGGGTGAAATGAATGGAGCCGGCTCCTCTGACCTACAGGACATGGAGAGTGAGGGCGAGCAGATGTCACCAGCCCCAAATGCTTTCCCGGGCTTCCCGGCTCCCAGAAGTCCTGTCTCCACACCCACCAGAGTGGCCTGCATGTGGAGCTCCATTCCCAGCCTGGCCGGAGCCCGGGAGGCAGGGCTACCTCTCACATTCGGCAGCCTAGCCCGGTACAGTAGGGGCCCAGGATGTTTAGCTGAACTGACTCGATGGCTCTGGATTAGCCATTCCAGAGGTGCTCAGCGCCACTTCCTGTCCCAAATTCAGCCTGTGCTGCGGAGAGGCCACCTGTCCTTAGGAGAAAGAGACTGCCTCAGGGCACCCCAGCCTATGACAGAGTCATTTAGCGGGGCCCCACTGAGCCCTCGAGCACCCCTGTGTGCAAGGGGTTTTCATTCCTACTTCAGGGCAGTTAGAGGGGAGACCTGAGGGAAGTGCTTGTCGCCAGAGCCAGCGGCACAGTAGAAGCTCAAACCCAAGCATGGCGAACTTCTGCAGAGCCTATGCTGCAGCATTCAAGCAGAGAAAGACCACACTGACCACACACACACACACACACACACACACACACTGCCCCCACCTCAAGCTGGAGAAGCAGGCGGGTCTGGTGCTGCTGGGAAGCCCTGGGGCACTCTGGGCAGGACGGGTGGGTCCCAGGCCTTTGCGGGCCTGTGAGACAGAGCCAGCTGAGACAGAAGACCTGTCCCCAGCATCATGGCTGGCTGAGAAATGATAAAGGCACAGTCCCCGCACCAGGAGCTTACAACCTACCTAGAGAACCATCTTATAAAAGGCACCACAGGGACCCAATGGGCAATCCAGGCAGAAAATTCACCCCAAATTCATAATGTCCTTCCTTCCTCCCTACAAATACTTATTGAGAGCCTACCACGTGCCAGGTATGTCACTGAGGACAAATCAAAGCTCCTGCCTCAAGCAGCTCATGCATATCCTTGTGGGAGGTAATTACATTCTGCCTTTGGACTGCTCACTGCAGACAGGGTGTCCCCATCTCTGGGCAGGCCCTTGGTGCCCAGCAAGGGCCCCAGTCAAGGCCTTCATGCCTGTGGCCCCCTGCACCCCAGCCCTTGCTCCTCTGCACACCCTGGTCCTGTCTCTGTCTTCAGAGCACAGATCATCCCTGATATTACGCCTTTTTATCTGTTACTTGTTTACTCCTCCCAAGCAGGACCCAGGTCCGCGAAAGCAGAAACATGGCTCTCCTCTCCACAGCTGCATTTCCTGCATGTAAACACCACTTACCATATGTGTGCTCCTTGAATGCCTAAGTCAAAGTGGAACATGTACCTAACTGTGATTGTTGGTACATCTGCAATGCTCAGTCCTGCCTGTGGTCTTTCATCTTTTTTAACACTTCATTGAGGCATCACTGATATATAACAGCATGTACATATTTTAGGTAAAACTTGGTAATTTGAGATATACATAGATACCCATGAAACCACTACCATCAAGCTAGTGAATATAATGAACATGTCTATCATCCCCCCACCCTCTTCCCAACTCTGTACCCACGCCAGACCCCTGGCAGTCCTCCCAGGGTCAGCTTGGACAAGCTTTCCTTCAGACAGCCTCCCCACGTGGTAGGCACCTCCTGTCCCAAGGCCTGGCCGCTCTGTCTCACCACAGACAGTTGGCCTGTCTGCGTCCCTCACCAGACAGACTGGGAGTTCTCTCTCACATGGCCCTGACCCACGACAGGTCCCAGTAAATATGCACATGATATGCAGGTGGGGAGGGAGACAATGGTGACAAAAGGTGACTCTTGGCTCCTTGGGGGCAAAAGAAAATCACTCAAGCGGACTCGTGGTTGGTGGTACATTTCATTCGAGAGGGAGCCAACAGCCTCACCTTGCGCCTAGTTCCCCTGCATGCCCCAGAGCTGGTCATCCCTGACCCTGGAGCACAGTGGCCCATCTTGGCCTTCCAGTGGGCCTGGCGGCTGGGCTTCACTGTGACCAGGGCCATGGGGTGGCTGGAAGGCATGCTACCTATTAGCAAGAAGGCATTTCACAAGACTTTCTACTGCATCTTCTCCCCAGCCTCCCCCTTTCTTTTGGTTATAGAATATTAACTTAAAAAGCGAAATGCCACAGACACGGTGGAGGATCCATCTTCCCCCCCAAGCCAAGGACTTGCAATGAGGGCAGACTAATTTTATTAACTTCAGGGGAACTTCAAAAAGCTTCAGGGCTTTCAAGGCAGACTGCAACGACCCCAAAGTTGGTTTAAGTGCTACATAAACAAAAGCCTAGGGCTGGGGAAGCGGAGGGCTCCCAGCACTTCTTGTTTATGTTCTCATCTGACCAGGCGGGCCAGCGTGCGGGCTGGCGGGCCCTGTAATCCTGCTGGTGTGTGGTGCCGGTCAGTTCACTGACCTACATTACCACAATATTTTTTTAAGCATCCGGGATAAGGTGAGGAGCGAATGGGCTTTTTCTGACCCTCTGAGGAGGGGCCCGAGGGGGCTCCCTCTTGCTTGCTGCTTCGTGGTCTCCCTGGGGCTGGAGTGGCAGTTTAGAGAGGATTCAAGTTCAAAGGGAGTGCCTGTGTCACTCCCGTTCTCTTGTTTTATGGCTTGGCCAGAGGGCCTAACAGCACTGATTAGGTGTAACGTCCCCTCCTGCTAACTTCTGTGTCTTCAATTCCACTTGCAGGGTCAGGCAATGTGGGTGAGAAGGCCAGCCTTCAGCACACTGCCAGGAACCCAGTGTGGTCTCAGGAATGCTGGCACCCCCAACCCCTGCCCGCTGATGGTCTGCGTGGTTATTTCCAGCAGCCTGGGTGGATCCTTCCAGGAGCCAGAAGATGGCCTAGACGGGCACTATGGACACGAGCTGCCAGGGCAGTGAGAGAAGCTGGCAGCAAACTCCTCCTCCCTCAGACTATCCAGCCCTCTGCACCTCCTCTCCCATCCCACCCGCAGCAGATGAGAGCCACAAATTGTCCTTGGCCATGCTCCGCGAGAGGCACCTCCACACCATTAATGAATCTTCAGAAAAGCCCTGTAGGGATTCAGCAAAGTGAAATGACTTGCTCAAAGTCACATGTTCCAGCTTTGCCTGCATTTGCCCCCGTGGCATGAGAGCAGAGGAGATGGAGGTTTGGTGGCAGTGAATAGGCCAGCCAGGGCA